TCGACTTTCAAATGAGTTATGTTTAGGTCTAGGGTTGATTAATAGGCTTGAGTCAAAGATCGCTGCCACGCCACCACCTCGGCCTGTGTTTCGAGGGATGTGACAGTTACTGTGACTAGGTGGAGTGGATTCATTTTGGCTGACATATTCTTCCTGCTGTAACCATGTTTCAGTAAGACACAATAAGTCAATGTGATGTTCACTTATCAAATCATTCACTAACAGAGATTTAGATGAGAGAAATCTGATATTTAATAGACCACATTTGATTGTCCTATTACTTTCTACTATAAGAGTTGTCGTCCTAATTTTAATTAGGTTCTTATGAATAACTCCTCTCGAGTTGATTCTTGATTTATATAATTTAGGTGGTCGGGGAGGAATGGGACAGACATGAGTATACAGTGACCACTGACCACTGAAATCTTATCGGTTATGGATCCTTGAATCCAAGTGAAAGTTTGGAACAAATCTGAAGAAGTTCTCTCAAGGCAATTGAGATATCATATTCAAGAGAACGGGATGAATGGATGTGCAAAAAACTCGCCAGCACAGAAGAATAAAATATAGACATATACTTGAGTGGATGCATTTCCCGTTAGGTTCATCATCTACAAATGTCTGTATAAGGAGTTTCTGCTGATGTGTTCTCCAGGAATCTCCCAGAGGAACCAACCTGGTGACCCTGATGGACACAACGGCCCAGGCAGTGATACAGGAGGATGGATCTGTCTATTGCCAGCCTGACACTCTGTTTGAAGGTTTGTCATCTATGCCATCACTATGTTTGATTTAAAGGCAGTTTAACCCTCCCAGTGTAATGAGTAATGATTACTCTTCAGGACTGGAGCTGCCAGCAATCAACTACAACTTCAACTCTAAAAAGTACAGATACTTCTATGGGTCCAGGATGGAGTTGTCTCCTCTTCTCCTCAACAAGGTATGACAACTCAGAATAGTAGCAACACAAACATCTTTCGCTTATGACTATGATGGTAAAATGAATCAGAAATCAACTGCAAGGGGACATAACACATTTGAACTGTTGGTCCACCACTCTGGTTTGACTGAAATATCTCAACAACCAAGAAAGTTTGTACAGACATTCATGGTCACAAGAAGATAAATCATGCTGACTTCAGTGATTCCCTGACTCTGGTGCCGCCAGACACTTCACTGAAATTTCTACATAAATATTCAATGAACTGCCTTGAAATGTGGTCCAAACATTCAAGGTACCATGACATTGGACCCTAATGACTTTGGTGGTTCCCTGACTTGGTC